ATGGAACTCCCATTTGACCCAGTGATCCCACTCCTAGGAATATATCCCAAGAATCTAGAAACACCAATCAGAAATGATATATGCACCCCTATGTTCATAGCGGCACAATTTACCATAGCTAAGATTTGGAAATGGCCTAAGTGCTCATCAGCAGATGAGTGGATTAAAAAACTGTGGTACATCTACTCAATGGAATACTACGCTGCTGTAAAAAGGAAGGAACTCTTACCATTTGCAACAGCATGGATAGAACTGGAGAGCATTATAGTAAGTGAAATATGGCAGTCAGAGAAAGATAAATATCACATGATCTCACTTATATGTGAAATATAATGAACAACATAAACTGATGAACAAAAACAGCTCCAGAGACAAAGAATCATCGATCAGACCATCAAACTTCAGAGGGAAGGTAGGGGGGGTTAATGTAAAGGGGAGTAATCAACCAAAGACCTTGAATGCATGCATGCATGGCCCATGGACACAGACAATAGGGTGCTGAAGGCCTGGGGTGGGGAGGGAGAGGACGGTGGCAGGCTGGAGGGGGTCAATGGGGGAAGAAGGGGACAAATGTAATACTTTCAACAATAAAGAATTGCTATTAAAAAAAAACACAGCAGATTCACAATTAACTAATTGCTCTTGGACCAGGAGCCGGAATCAGCCTCTGAATTGCGTTGTCTGCTTCTGCCTGGGCGCCCCTCACTCTGAGGACCACACCTGCCAGGAGGGAGGCCCAGAGGCAGAGCTTTTGCTGCGTCCTGGGATAAACGGAGGGGTGGCCGGGGGCTTTGTCAACATGAGTCAGTCGGTGGTTTAAAGAAACTCGTCTGTGTGTCCCGAGGGCAAGTGGTACAAGGTCAGTCTCCAAAGTCACCAGTTCTGTGCTCCCTGAGCTCCGGCTTCTCCACAGTCGCTGGGAGCCGCCCTGCAGTCGGCGCGTCCCTCCTGCTCTGAAGACGCCTTAGCGGCCGCAGCAGCCTGGCCCACAGCTGGGAGCCCGCAGCTGCTCTGGGTCGCTAAGAGAAAGTGGGTTTTGGACAGAAGACTTGATCCATGGCCACGTGCTTTCCGGGCTTATGTAAAGCCAACCTGGATTTGTACAAAAATGCTTTCAGAGAACATCCAGTCAGTGCCAAACCACGGCCAGACCTGGCGCTGGAAAAGGCTGCCTGTCCCACTTGCGGGCTCTGCATCGTGCTGGCTGCCTGGCACCAGGCCTGGCCCGTGAGGTGAGCTCTGTGGTGCGGCCAGGGGATGGAGGCGCTCCTGGAGGCCTCTCTGTCGGGGCCCGAGGCTTACTCACTGCTCAGGCCTGGGCGGCAGGCGGCCAGTGGCCCGGGACCCCGCCCCGTCCGCGGCAGGTGGGCCCTCCTGGCCCCCTTCAGGCATCTTCCCCCCAAAAGGCTCTGACAGACTCCTGCGCCATTTCTGAGACTGGCGTGCTCTGGCCTCGATGCCAAGGGGCCTCCGGAGCCACCTGGCTTGGAAGCAGCGGGCAGCCTCGCGTCACACCCAGAGCGCGGCCTGGAGTGCTGCTCCGTGTGGATCCCGGTGCAGAGCGTCCTGCACACGACGCCAGAGAGCAGAGCAGAATCCAGGGTGTGAGAAGCACAGGGTTCACGGTCACCCCACAGGGCGGGGCTCCCGGCGCCTCCCAGCCTGGGCGCTGCTTCAACTGTCACTCATTGGCTCTCACTCATCGCTGTCACTCATTGGCTGTCACTCATCGGCTCTCACTCATTGCTGTCACTCTTCAGCTGTCACTCTTCGGCCGTCACTCATCAGCTGTCACTCATCGGCTCTCACTCATCGCTGTCACTCTTCGGCTGTCACTCATTGGCTGTCACTCTTTGGCTGTCACTCATCGGCTCTCACTCATTGCTGTCACTCTTCAGCTGTCACTCTTCGGCTGTCACTCATCAGCTGTCACTCATCGGCTCTCACTCATCACTGTCACTCTTCAGCTCTCACTCTTCGGCCGTCACTCATCAGCTGTCACTCATCGGCTCTCACTCATCGCTGTCACTCTTCGGCTGTCACTCATTGGCTGTCACTCTTTGGCTGTCACTCATCGGCTCTCACTCATTGCTGTCACTCTTCAGCTGTCACTCTTCGGCTGTCACTCATCAGCTGTCACTCATCGGCTCTCACTCATCACTGTCACTCTTCAGCTCTCACTCTTCGGCCGTCACTCATCAGCTGTCACTCATCGGCTCTCACTCATCGCTGTCACTCTTCGGCTGTCACTCATTGGCTGTCACTCTTTGGCTGTCACTCATCGGCTCTCACTCATCGCTGTCACTCTTCGGCTGTCACTCATCAGCTGTCACTCAGCTGTCACTCATCGGCTGTCACTCATTGGCGGTCACTCATCAGCTGTCACTCAGCTGTCACTCATCGGCTGTCACTCATTGGCGGTCACTCATTGGCTGGTGAGGGGACTGTGGTGTCTCCACGGGAGTTGAAGGTGGGGTCACCGGGTGGTCACAGCTGACCCAAAGCTAGATCACCCCAAGTGCGAGTAGTCTGAGACTCAGGTGTAGAGTGACAGCCACAATTGAGGTAAAGGAAAGGCAGTCCAAGGTGGTGCGTGTTGGGGGCGGGGTCAGAGAAGCATGTACTGAGTCCCGGCCTGAGCCCGGACCCCCCTCTGTCTCTGAGAGGCAGAGAGCAGACTCCCCTGTCACAGTGCGGGATCTGCCTTCCCCACGCCTGCGTGCATCCCCCAGGCTTGGCACCGGCTCCTCTGAGTCCCTCCTCTCCTGGCCATCCCTGGTCTCACCTCTTCAGGTTCCAGGAAGAGATTAAATAGCAAAACAAAGGAGAAGGCAGTATCAGGGATGCCGGGTGCAGGCTCCCCAAAGCTGAGCGCTGCCTGTGTGCTCCCGGGCCTTGGGGTCTGGGGCTCCGGCTTCCACTGCTTCTCAGCTCCCTGGCACCAGAGCCTGGCGTGCAGGACCCCAGGCCCCACATCTCCAGCAGAAAGCGTGGTCAGCAAAGGGTTCCCGAGAGTGTGGGCCAACCCTTCTGCTGCCTTTGAGGAGGCGTTGGTGTTGGCTGAGTCGGAGTGGGGTTTGCTCTGTCCCTCCCGCTGGCAGACGGTGCCGGGACTGAGGTGGCCTGTGTGCTGCCTGGAGGGTCCCAGGAAGGGACGGCCGTGCTTCCCTGTGGGAGTGTGCACGTCCGAGCACCTTAGGTTTCGTCTCTCTCCTTGGCTGGCCCAGCTGCTGGCCACCTGTCCCTTGGACGTCCTGCTCCTACCCCGACCCCCTGTGTCCTCACCGAGGGTTGCTGCATCCTGTGCCCACGTCTCCTCTCTCCCCGCAGAGCCAAGCCATGCGGATCGTCCGGACAGTGGGGCAGGCCTTCGAGGTGTGCCACAAGCTGAGCCTGCAGCACACGCAGCAGAGCGCGGACGGCCAGGAGGACGGGGACAGCGAGTGGCACAGCCACAGCTCCGGGGACCCAGGTAGGCTGTCGCCACCAGGATTGGCAGGCAGACAAACACAGGCAGCCCCGCC